TAACACCGCCAGTTGTCAATCACTTTAGTCAGAGAAAAAAGTCCTGACAACATACAGGATAATTTATTTATCGTTTTCCTCGAAATCAATTTTTACACACAAAAAAAGTGCAAAATCGCTCCCATTTCTCCGATCTAGTTGAAACTTTTTTTTGCTCTACTCATCGAGATCTATTTATTCTGAAAGGGAATGTAGGTCTCCATGAAATCTATAGTTTTTACTATTGAAGAGAATCTGTAACAACACTATGATTTACTATTTTATGTCAAGTTATCAACACTCGTTAATTCTAATGTCTATCGTACTGATATTCTTATCTATTATTCATTAACATACAGACACACTAACTTTGTTCTATTTCTTTTTAATATCATTTCTCATTTATTATATTTCGGTGCGTGTAATTACTCTTTCAGATATTTTCTATAGGACAAATATTGCGCCGTATAATTTTCTAGTTCTATTCGATTCAAAAAAACATGTCTGATGAAGTCATGCGTATTGTTTATTTTGAATATCTTAACTATATTGAAAAATTACCTATTCTCATCATTAGTAACCTAGAAAATTTAATATTCAATTATGATAATAAAGTTTCAAAAAGAAAAGGTGATGTTGACCTTGTATAAAAAAAGAAAAGAAAAGAAATTGATTTCAATATTTCACACTAGTTTCTTTTTTTGCTATACAATCTTTTCAAATAGTTTTTCAATTGAACTTTATTCTTTTTATTATGACTTTCTACAGGAGGTGGTCAATAAGTATCTTTATCAAAAAAGCAAAAAAATTTGCACTCTATGAGGTTAATTGTTTTTCTTCTATAAAAATAACACTTACACATATTACTTTAATAATGAAAGTGGAATGGCTGTTTGTGATAATTTTTATAGATGTTTCGAAATTTTAGATTCATCTGATGGCCTGTAAGATCATCAAATCATTATAGAAGAAAAAAAATTAGTCCTATAGAGTAGATATATTCAAATTCTTTTATCGTGACACTACTTATGAATTGCTATGTATATAGATATAGTCTAAACTTGAATATCAATAGTCTGCTAATCCATTTTCTAAAGTGAAATAAGACTAGAGTCTATCAAGTCCAAAATTTTTGAACTCGGTCAAACTGTCCTTTGGTACTCTTAATGAAATTAAACAGTCAACTCGAAAATACGATATAATGTTTTTTTTTTGAATTCAATAACTAGTATATCGTACACATTCAAAATTAATTTTCAAATACATACTGGGTTAATCTGTGTTTGTCCACTAATATTAATACTATCTGCAACTACACTAACTTCACAAAATAATGTTAATTTATCATCTGGTAATAAACCATTAGCTTCATCAATTAGAAAATCTCGACGAATAAATTTTTTAAATCCCCAATCTTTTCCTAAATAGAGCAAAAAAAAAAGAAGAATCGAAAATGTATTAAAATATTAAACAAAAAGAAAAAATGAAAATTGACCTTGAACAAATCGATAAGCACGTTGAGATTCCATAGCTTTTGTTTCATCACCTTTAGCATTAAGTATTGAAAATTTAAATTTTGCACGTGTTTCACATTTACTATTTGGTGCAGCAACAAGTAAAAGATAAAGTGATAAATAATCTTTTGATTCTTCATCAAGACCTTTAGGATTTAAACGTAAACACCATTTAAGTTTATCATTAACATTTGCTGAAAATGATGATGATTTTAATGCTTCACCCATTTCTTCACGACAAAATGAAAAATTATTTATTGTCCAATTAAATGAAAACTATGTTTAAACAAAAAACAAAAAAACAATCATCAAATTCTTTCATTATTTTTTAAAACATACTTTAATCACTTTAACACTTGTAAAACACCATGATTCTGAAACAGGTTGACTAAATGAATTTATTGGTTGTTGAATTGTTTGTTGATGATTTTGTGTTGGAATAATAATATTATCACCATTCATACTACCCGGTATATAATGAACAGATGGTGATGGTGCTCGTACAACAACAATATTCTGTGGTGAATCAGGAAGCATCATTTGTTTAATTGTATGAAATAATTTATTTTCTTCACAAGGATACACGGGCTGATGAATGCGAGAGAAAAATCTATTTAAAAGTAAAGAAAAAATAATAAGAAGAAAGTTTTACGCGCGATAATATTTTAATTATTTAGAAACAAAACAAAAAAAAACAAAAGACGACAAATACGAATGAGTATTTAAGAACGAAAAAGCAAACAAATGACCGAGACATCAACGGTCAATCACTTAGTTATTTTTTATGCCAGACTATGAATGAGTCATACAAAAAAAGTATATATATATATATATATAATTAATAACATATTTAATGACATATGATTTTCAAAAAAAATGCAAAATTTTAAGAAAATTTGTTTCTATTTTTTATCTTGTTTATAGATTAGTTGTTTTTTTATCTTCATAATTAGCGATCTCTAGCGAAATTTTTTATTCGTTAAGTTATACATCAATCAGAATAATTTTTATGAACTATTTATAATTAGCAAGAGAAAATTACATGTGTAAAAACCATTGCACATTGATTGACGTACGTAATATGTTGTATTTAAACTGTCAAAGAATTAAGACTTTTTTCTATATTCGATTGTATATTTGTACTTGATGACCGCATGACCAAAGAGTGTCTGTCAAATAATAGAATATTGCTATTTGTTAGATTACACATTTCGTTATAAGTAGACGATTATGACGGAGTAGTTTTTAAATATAGAAACAAATATGTCGAACGTATTTGTATAAACAATAAGGAATAGAAGAAAATTTTTAATTTAGATAAATGGTTTTTTTTTCTCATACAGATGAAATAGGTCAAAAAATACATGAAAAGAATCCATTGTAATGTAGGAACACTTAATCATGCTAGCTTTTATAGTAGAAAAATGCATTAATAATACAAAAAGAAAAAAGTAGGTCATTATGATGAATTGTTTATGTGTTAATTTTGTCTCTATGAGAAAAGTCTTTTAATTGATTAATCGTTTTTGAATCAAGGCTATGCGTATTATGTAGAGCTAAACAAGCTATGAATATTTTGAGAAGAGTTTGTGGTTCTTAGTTTATATCTGCTGAGATATTGGATTTTTATGATATTTTTTTTTTTTGGCAAAGTTTTCTTCTCGATGGTAAGAAGCTGAACAAAAAAAAACATTTGTATAGCTGAAAGAATTCTTTATTAGGATTGATAGGTTTGAAAGCTTCAACAAAGCTGTTTGAAGGAGAGTCTGCGGAAAACCAAGATCGCCAAAACTAACTTTCTGGCTTTCGTTTGAAGCTTTTGAGAAAAGGTTTTATTTGATAGAGCAAGCGATTCTGAGTAAGATGCATACTTCTTCGACCTTTTGTTCAACACACTGCATTCAATTTATAGAAAGCCGAAAAGCGTCACGTTTGACAAAAAGATTGAAATTTTTAATAAAAAGAAGAGAAAAATATTTCTTAAACCTTCTATAAATAGAATGCGGTCTGATAAAGAAAGTTCGAATAAATGTCATCTTACTCAGAATCATTTGCTCTATCAAATAAAATTTTATCCTAAAAACTTCGAACACAAGCAAGAAAACGGGTTTTAGTATTTTGACTTTTCGTAGACCTTCATCCGAGCCTTTGGTTCTATCAATCCTAATAGAGAATCTTTCCAGCTACGCAAATATTTTATTCAGATTCTCGTTAGCTATTATCATCGAGAAGAAAATTTTAAAATAAAACTGCTCTAAACTGTTATCAGGCATAAATCATGATTTTTTTGACATCTGTTCAATAGAAACTTGATAGGTTTTACATTTTTTTTTACCGTTACTCTGATGTGATTTATTTGATTTTTTGTATACACAAAGAAACCTTATGATGAATGAAACACTGACTACACTCGGGTCTTCTTGATTGCGGATATTTTTTCTTGTTGGATGAAAAAAATCTCCGCAAAGTAGAATCGGAGAAAGAACTAAAAATGATCGTACATCGCAAAATATCCTCAATTTAAAATGAGAGAAGAGAAAAAAAATAGCCGTATGATGATATAGATATAGTAAGAGGATCATTGTTGGTAGCTTTAATTAAGAGTGAATATTATGGTGTGGATATTCTTTTGAGTCACACCCATATCTTAAATCTAAAAAAATGTTAGTCACTCTTATATTTTTTTTATTAATGATTTTTTTTCACATAATAAATCTTATGTTGATTCCATTATGCGGCCATTTTTCCTTAAAAGTGTTCGCAATTTGAATGTAGCAAACTATGCTATTATTGTATCATAACTAACGATTGTCTGCTGTATACAAATGCTTAATATGATGTATGAGTAATGATATTCATATTGGATTTCATTTCTAAGAATAGAAACTCTTTGAATATTTCGATTTTATAGAAAAACTCAGTATGGCTCAAGTCATTGTTTGACAGATTCTAAGTGCAATCAGATAAGACGATTATTAGTATGATTAATCAATAGTAGATGTGAAGTATTTAGTGATTCGAAATATACTCTTATCAAGAACAGCAATCATTATGTACTGTTTTTTTTTTTGTATTGCAGTAGATGTTATGTTTTAATAGAATACAGATTATATACTCTTCATTAGGCAAGATGGTTCTATTTCCAGACCAAAAAATAACTCGTTTCACTCATGTCTAGGTAATCGACATGATATAAAATAAATTCAACATGGGGGAAAAAAAAAAACTTGTTTTTCTATCTATATTGATGATAACAAGTCTATTATTTATTCTAGATTTCAATTTGTTATTTGTTTTCTTTTTTTTTTTTTGTTAATCTGTAAAAAGCAAATGAGTTTTACTTTGATACGTGGTTTTTATTCCATAAATCATATTGTTGATTCATTTTTAATTAGTTCAAATTTTCTTGGTGGTCCATCATCGGTAATCTTTTTATGGTTTTTGTTATCTTTAAATTTAATTTATATAGAAAACAATGATATCTATGACTGGTGGAACTACTACTATTCAACCAGTATTTTCAATAAATCCTTCACAAACATCAACAGGTTTAACTGGTTCTGAACATTATAAAATTGAACGTATCGTAGCCTTAGTCATGCTTGCTATCATTCCAGGTTCATTTGTATTTAATTCAGTGTTTATGAATTATTTATTGGCTGTTTCAATTGCCATTCATGCACATTGGGGTTTGTTTTCTATAAAAGATTTTTAATAGAATAATAATAATGAATATCTTGTTGACAGGAATGGATGCAGTATTAATTGATTACTGTCCAAGAAAAGCATTACCATTAGCTAATATTATTCGATATGTACTTACAACGATTGCATTTGTTGGACTTTGGTAGGAATAAAACAAAAAAAAAAAATATTCTATTTTATTTAATTTTGTTTCTTTTTTATAATAGTTATTTTAATTATAATGATATGGGTTTAATAAAAGCATTGAAAACACTATGGACTATGTATTAATTGACTTTTATTTATTATATAAATAAAAATTTTGCAGAGGAATAAATTACTTTTGTGAATTTATTCATGTTTTCTTTTTTTTTTTGTTAATTATCTCGTGAGATTTAAAATCTGTTGTATTTGCATTTTTGTTCTACTTAATAAACATTCGATAAATTATTTGCATGATATATTTTTCTTTTCATTGGATTTAATCAAAGCATAAGAACAAAAGATTGTAACGTATTATTAGTAAAATTATAAATTAGAGAAAAAAAAGATATCGTGTTGAATAATTTTTCTTTTGAAAATCTTAGGCCATAACGAAATTAATAAAGAATAGAAAATGATTGTATTCTTTTATATAAACCTAACTATTGTCCATTTCAAAATAAAAGGCGGGTGAGTATTTTTTCAATAGCTTTTGATAGGAGCAAGGTAGAGAGTTGCGGTTTTCACCAATGGAAAGAGGAGATGAAGATGCATCGAACTGTATATTCTAAGATAATATGGCACAGTTTTTTCAAAGACTTAAAGCGATGTTTTTGAAAGCGAACATATTCCGTAAGGTTAGTAAAGTCATTTTTCAATAATTTCGTGTGCATCTGAACCGCTAAGAGAAGATCTACCACCTATACGCAAGGCCGAGACTTTTAGATCTATTCGTTCAGAAGTTATAAGTATTTTAGTACAAATTCTTAGTCGATTTTTCCGTTGATTTCTGTGAAAAAAATCAATTTTTTGCGTTTTTGTCGTAAAATAGAAACTCAATTTTTAGGCATTGTTTTAGAAAATCGATTAAGAAAACTTTAAAGAGCCTCCTGGGAAAACCTATATTATATGATTCGATGTGTCTTCATCTCCTCTTTCCAATGGTGAAAACCGCAGCTCTCTATCTTGCTCCTATGAAAAGTTATTCAGAAAATACCCACCCGCCTTTTATTTTGAAATAGGCAATATGTTTGGTTATTTTCAACTATTTGAAATAGGATATTTCCTATTAACTATATATTGTATGATATTTTTCCTGTCCATATTGATCAACATATATGGGATAAATAGTCGATCTCGGACTACTAATAAATGTCAACATATTGCTACATTTGTTTGTCACAACTGTGATATTCATTAGCATATGTGGAAAATATAGTAAAAGACTAAAGACATTTATAATCGTAGCGCATTCTGAAAGACAGATTTAAAACACTATATATGCATTATGTCGTAGTTAATGTATTTTTAATCGATTAGTTATCTTGACTTCAAATAGTATATTACTCAAAATCAAATGAATATCAACATAACAAAAAATATAAAAAGCATATTTAATGATTTAGATGTATGTTGTACAATAGATCTCGGAATCTGGATATAATCAATTATTTAATCAAAATTGAATAGAATTTATTTGATAGCTAGTTTTTCGATTTTCATTATTTAATCATTACCTTTTCATCATTCAATTAGAATCTATCATAATATTAGAAATTATTATTTGTGAATTTAACAAAAGAAAAACCTTACTCAAACTCTTTAATCAACTAGACTAAACTATAAAGTCTATATACATCTGGAAAAATTTTGTATTAGAATAATAATGCAAAACAACAAAATTCTTTGATCTTTGTCCATCAATATACTATTCTTGTTTACTGTATTATGTAGTTTCTTTTTTTGGGACTGGCAATTCTATATGTAATTATTATGACATTCGAATATTAAGAGATACTTCAAATATAATTTAGCAAAGTACACCAAATATATTTCTATCAACATTATAACTTAGAAATAAATAAACATATACTAATAGTTGTTTATTGATGTAGGTTATCCAATCTATTACTTATTGCCAGAAGAAAACATCAGTAAATGACCTTGGCCAGAGTTGACATTGGTAAAGCTTCTACATGTATATTATTGCAAATTGGCGGGTCATTCATATCACTAACATTCTGTCCTTTTTTTTCTTCTCATTGATTTCCCAGAACTATCCGTTGTTATTCTGTTTTGATAATTAATAATATAATAAAAGGAAAAAAAAATATTTTGTCTGATGAAAATATTCCATTACGGATGAATGTGATGATTTACTAATACGATCTATCAATGTGATAAGCAATAGACCCACTAGCAGAAAACAACAACAACAACCACATCTGTCTAACTTTCTCTTATGTTTTTTTTTTTTTGTTGTTGACAATAATATTACCCAAGAATAGAGAAGCTCGAAATAAATCCACTAAATCATTTCTTTCTATAAGATATATTATATTACATAAACGTGGAACGGACGCGCTTGCTCTATATCTATTAAGTAAAATTGATAACTTTCTTTATTTGAATTGTATTCAGTCAAAGCTAGAAAAAAATAAGACATGGTGAGTTATAACATATATGAATTCAAATCATATGAAATTTTTCTAATATAGGAAGACACATCACATTTAGTTACTCATTTTATGGCTGCTGGAGCTGGACAACGTTTAGAGGATTATCATTTTTTAGTAAATACTTATGAAACAGTAAGTTCAATTGAGTTTATACTAAATATTAATATTCATATTCATATATAATTTAGATTTCTGATCAAGAAACACAATTAAATCGTATTTTACGTATGCTTGATGAAGATGAAGTATTTCTTAGTTGGTATATTGATACAACACCTATCGGAAGAATACGATCACGATCATATTATAGTTTTGATCGAATAAATGAACCATTAGTTTTACCAGGAAGTATTGCTTATCAACGTCTTCGTGAAATGGAAAAAAAAGATAATAGATCACGATCATCATCATATACACCATATCGTCGTCCTTATGAAAATCGAGAACGTCGAAATAGATTAACTGAAGAACATGATTATTCACCAAATCGAAATTCAAATGATAATAATGCATCTCGTCTACGAGCTAAAGCTGAATATGATGCTGAATTAGCTGAATATGATGCAAAACGACAAGCTAAAAAAGATGTTCGAATAAAAGATGATAATGATAAATCATTAGATATTGAATTAATTTCATTTACTGTTCGTTATGAAGATATACCATTATCAAATCAAAATACAAATGATCAAAATTCTTTAGGTCATCTTTTATGTGAATGGATATCACCAAGTTCATCATCAGGTATTGATTATTATACGATTGAACGTCAATTAGGTGATAAAGAATGGTTACGTATTGGAAAACAAATTGATAAAACACAAAATCAAATTGAATTAGATATATCATCATTAATTTCAGATGATAATGATGATAATATTCCATCACGTTTTCGTTTAAAAGCTCATCTTGGAAATGGAAAAATATTTACTAGTAAACCAACAGATGAAATATATATAAATTCAACAGATAAGAAACATATTATAATACCTGATGTTGAAATTCTTTCGGCTAATTCTGTTCAATTAACATGGAAAAAAGATGAAAATGATATAACAAATATATATGATATTGAAAAGAAAGAAGCACAACAAACAGAATGGATTAAAGTTACGAAAGTTCCTCGTTCACAAGGTTCAGCTCGAATAGATGATTTAATTGATGCTCAACAATCTCAATTTCGTTTGGTACCATCAGCATCACAACAAACTACAAAATCAGGTACTATATACAGATTCATTCTAAAATCAATTAACCGAAAGAAAAATTGAATATCTTTGCTATAGTTTGATCAAATAGGTTGACTTGTTTTTATCGATGATAAATCGATGTTCATGGTTGATATCATTAAGGAAAATATTGAACAGAATCATTTTGGTGTATTATTATTGACTTCAAAATAGAAATGCAGTCTCCTCCCCCCCTGACTACTCTTGACAGAGGGACTTTCAAGCTCTGAGGGCATATTTCATCGAATAGTGCTAGATTATATGTTCATAACAACCTTCGAAAGAGTTGTTCTTTTGTAGTGTTTTGATCAAGACGTTGAGTTTTCGTCTGTAGGAACCCAGGTTTTCAATAAAACCTTAATTTCAAATATTTGACTGAAATTATCCTATAATCAAGGTTGCAATAAGACTTACTCATGCATATCAAGTTTTCAATGTCTAAATGTCTCTGCGTTGATATTATGTACAACGTAGAAGTTTTAACAAATTAGTATATATCGGAGATATTGCATGCACAAATCCTAAAACACTGTTCACAAGTTAGTCTTGTTGAGATCTTTATTGCAACAAAGTTTCAGGTCAAAAATTCCGCAAAAGAGCGAATTCTTTGGGAAGTGTTATAATGATCCAGTGGTCCGCTACTAATTGACAAAATATGCACTCAGCAGTTGTGGATCAACTGGAGAGATCCATCGTTAAAAATAAACGAGAAAGACAACATTTCTGTGTACAAATCTATGGTGACACATTAAAACTATGTTTTCCATCGGTAAAAACAAGTCATCCTATTCGATTAAATTATGATGAAGATATTCAATTTTTTTATTCAGTTAACAGACTTTTGAGTTACTTTGTGTATAATCAGTTTGTTTTACAAAAATTCTTCTTCGTTTTTTTTTTCCATACAAGATGAAGGTGAATTAGATGTATTAACTGTACAGAATGTTACTGCATGGCTTAGTTCATTACATCTTGTACCAACGTCATCCACTGCAGTTGAGGCTGAAATTTCAAAAGAAGGTTTTAAAGAATTCGATCGATATAAAGTTGAATATACAACAATCGATCAATTAGATCAATGGAAACAAGTATGAATAAATTTGTATATAAACATGATAAAAGATTAATTTGTTTTTAGGTGCCGAGTATAACTAGTGATAATCCTCATTTAACTATTAGTAATCTTAAACAAGATACTGATTATAAATTTCGTTTTACACCATTTTTACCTGGAATAACAGAAGAAAATGAACCAAGTTCTTCTCATCTTTCACTTGTTCTTGATGTAAAAACGCCACCATTACGCAAACCAAAATGTTCGTTAAATTTTTTTTTTTTGTTAAATCTTTCTTTTTTTGTTAATTTAGTGGTTAAAGATGAAGCTAAAAAACGAGTTCCTCCT